AAATGTCAGAAATATACATTCTTATGTCTACATGTTTTCTAACCGTATACTATTGCTCATCTTTAAATCATCTTGATTTTATTAAAGCAATAATAGAATTATATTTAAAATTAGTATTGAATAACTAAAAAAAGTATATTGACAAATTGAAACATGAGTATTGATAGACTTAGTAACACTTTTCTAACAATCTAGATTTCAATATTTATGCTCAACATATACTTAATCACATTATTAATTAATAGCTGAGAAGAATAAAAGAATTACTTGAATGTAGGCGTGAGTGTGGTTGTGGGTGGGTTTGTGGGTGTTGATATCATTCAAATCTAGACCCACACCTACACACAGCCACACCCGACGCCCACCCACACCCATCTATTTTAGAAATTTGTAAATCGTGATGTACCATCCGAGAATGTTTTTCAGTCACAAATAAAACTTATTGATTCAAGTAGTCAACTGATCACTTATAAAACAATAGCTGTTCTTAGTATCAGTCGGTACAGCAATGTTATCAATGTAGTGAAGAAAGAGGCAGATCACTTTATTACGTATAACAACCATCCGTATACGGACTGTTTGCCTCTGTCGAAATGTAAATTAGCTGATTTATTAGACATCTCAATTAGTATCATGGCTTTTTATAGTCAAGTTAGTAATGAAATTTTATTTCAATAGTACGACTTTACTATAAAAGTATTATATCATTTTGCTCTTTTTAGGTTCAAACAGCAGACCACCATCATCAATTAAAATACTATTGAGAGATATAGTAAATGGTACTGAACGAATCACGGTACAAGATGGTGAAAAAGTCTTTCTTATTAGTAATTTATTCTTATTTGTAAATGTTTATAAATTCTTGAAGCTCATCTAATATTAATAGGTTACATGTGGTTCAAAAACAAATAAATGAACAATACTATTATTTATTTGAACAGAAAAGAACAAGTATTTCTGAAATAATCTTTCATAGAAACAAGATAGAGGTCTATTCTTTCCACCATATAAAGGAAGAGATGAAGTCACATTGAATATTATATACCAGTTTTTTCTCCCACAAGTTTTCTCAGAATCTTTCACTAATTTTTCTGAAAAATCGAGTCTTTTAAATAGGTTTTAGGGTACATTATTTATGAGAAAATTAAAAGAAAAATTTCTTATCAAAAATATGTCGATCATGCGCAGTTAAATGCTTGTAACTCATGACTGACTAAACCTTACAACATCGGGGTGTGGGTGTGCGTGGGTGTGGGTGTGGGTGGGTGTGGGTGTGTGGGTGTGGGTATGGGTGTGGGTGTGGATGTGGGTGTGGGTGTGGGTATGTGTGGGTGTGGGTGCGCGGGTGGCGGTGTGTGGGTGTGCAGTGCGCGTGCAAGTGTTGTACCCAAATACATCCACACCCATACCCAGACTTACACCCATGCCCACACCCACATCCAGACCCCATCCATCCATCCCCATCAGACACAGACACCCACCCCACACCCAAACCCCATACTATGGGGTGTCACACTTACCACTTACCATCACTTCCACTTACCAGGTAAGTAGTAAGTGTTTTAGTGATGTAAAAGTGATCGGTATAATACTAATTAATGATTATTTGAATCATTGATTATTTGTTCTAGCATAGTAATCTTCACCACTTACCACTTCCTGGTAAGTGGTAAGTGGTACCACTTACCACTTTCTGGTAAGTAGTAAGTGGTGAAGATCACTACGTAATAATGAATAATTCATAATTAGCATATTCGTTTATCAGTGCTATATCAGTAATTTTATAATAAATAAAACACTTACCACTTACCTGGCAAGTGGAAGTGGTGGTAAGTGGTAAGTGTGATACTCCTAATTGCCTATGTGAACATGGCGTACATTCAATTTGACAAAGAGTTGATATAATAAAATAGCCAGCCTACCTTCAGTTAAATATAATTCATCTACTTGGGAGTGATATTTATCTTTTATCTGCTAAGTAATTAGCAATAGTAGGATTGTTACAATTACCACTTACCACCACTTCCACTTACCAGGTAAGTGGTAAGTATTTTATTTATTATAAAATTACTGATATAGCACTGATAAACGAACATGCTAATTATGAATTATTCATTATTACGTAGTGATATTCACCACTTACTACATACCAGAAAGTGGTAAGTGGTACCACTTACCACTTACCAGGAAGTAGTAAGTGGTCACTAGTTACCGCTTACCAGGAAGTGGTAAGTGATCACTACTTACCACTTACCAGGATGGTAAGTGGAATATGACACCCCTACCCCATACCCGCCCACACCCACACCCCACACCCATACCCGCACCCCACACCTACACCCACACCCACCCAAACCCACACCCACATCCACACCCATACCCTCGGAATTGTTCATATTTATACAACACTGTATCGTCCTCAAACGAATGGCCAAATCGAACGCTTCAATGCAAGTATGGACGCTAAAATCGCATCTATCTCAAATCAGTCTCGATCCGATTGGGATGATCAATTACCATTTGTAACTTTTAACTGTAATAGCGCCATTCATTCCACCACAAAAATGATTCCGTTCGAACTAATGTATGGACGGTCTCTTGTACTACCGTGCGATTCTCAAAATCCAATTGTTTCTTTTCAATCTGATCCTCAATACGCTACAAAGCTTAATCAATATGCATCTTCTCTAGCTGATACTGCACGACGAAACATTTTACTGCCTCAACGATCGTTCAAATCGAGATATGATACACACCGATGAGATCCTTCATACAATGTACATGACATTGTTCTTATTCAAAATCTTCACCGTCATCACAAATTCGATGTTCGTTACGAAGGTCCTTATCGTGTCATAAAACGGATCAACCACAAAACTTATGTTGTGCAACACATTCGTTTACGTCATGTTGTCCGTCAAGTCACTGTCGATTTTATTTCTCCTCTATTCAATCGGTCACTCGTTTAACTTTTACATATTTTCTTATTCTTTCTCAGTCTTACTCTCTACTGCTCTACGTTTTTTGAAGGACTTCAACAACATCGATTTGTGGGATACTTCCCTTACTACATCCTCGTTTTCGTCGTTCAAGCATAAATCTTCGCGATAACTGTGCCTCAATATTTTTATCCGTACCGTTTCGTTGATCGAACACGTGCTCGTAGCATTTTATTCGTCGTTTTTATCGCATTTCTTTATCATCCTTTACATTTGGTACACAATTTCTATCGTGAGACAGCTAGACTCATATTTGCCTTTTCGTTTTTATCCATGTCTGTTTTTTTATCTTGTTTTTTTTTTCTTTCGATTAATGTTTTTTCGTTTTTTTTCGTTCTTCTCTGATCCTTTTTTTGTGTCCTCTTTCAAGTTTCTTTTTTTCTGCTCATATCATCGAATGTGTATGGACACACATTTTTTGGTTGGTGGAAGGTATGTTACAAGTATGTTGTTCACATACCTTCACATCGCTTCAGCTATTACTGTCTGTTTTCTCTGTGTTCGTCTTTGGCATCATCTTCTTCTCTCTTTGTTCTGTTTTCGTTCTCTGTGTTTACGTTCTTTGATTCTTTTTTTCTCTCTCATCATTCGAAGTAAAAACGAACTAAAAGAAAGAAGCGAAAGGGACATCTGATACCTGGGTAATTAGCTGCAAATATTTGCTTTCAGTTCAATAAAATATTTGAATAGTTGTTTTGCTTGAGTTTTTTGTGCATACAGTGTTTCTCGATGATATTATGAAGTCGATATCCTTGCTTCGAATTGAGCAAAATATGGGAACAGTTGTTTGCTATGATTTATTCCTTGATCGAGTCTTCCGCGATGAACTTATCAACTGTTTATCTCGGCTTCGAATTGAATAAAATATTTGAACAGTTGTTTCGTATGATTTATTTCTTCATCGGGTATTCGTCGATCATATAGTGAACTAGAAATCTTTGCCTTGAATTGAGGAAAATGTCTGAATCTATTTCTTATGACTTATTTCTTGATCGTGTGGTTTTCGATAATTTAAGCTATTAGAAATTAGTGCTTTAAATTAAACAAAATATTTGAATAATTGTTTCGTAGAATTTATTTTTTCCTCAGATGTTCCTCGATGATATAACCAATTTGAAATCTGTGCTTTGAATTGATCAAAATATTTGAATAGTTGTTTGTCATGAACTATTCCTCGGTCGAATGTTTCTACATAGATGACACGTACGATATACATATATGTCTTTTTTTCTTTCCTTTCCTTCTCTTCTCTTGATATAGTATAGGTGTTTTCGATCTCATCATGTCTTTTACAACTGTCCTTAGGTTTTTTTCTAGTTCATTCATCTGTATATAGTTGTCGTTTTGAAAATAAAAAAGTGTTTATTATTATCGATCAGTTAAATCGAAACTTCGTGATAACACTTTTCTTTCTGGGTTTTGAGCGTGAGTTTGGGTTTGTTAACGGTGCATGACCTAGATGTCTTTTCTCTTTGTTGTTATTATCTATATATATATACATGTATGTGTGTGTGAAGAGAGTTTGGACGAAATAAACTTTCGTTAAGCTCGAACGAAACGAGCTAACAGGGTTCAAAAAAGTGAAGTCCGCAGAACACTAATGCAGAATAAGAAAAAGAAACAAAAGTGGCGAAAGAAAAGAAGAAAGAATAAAATAAAAGAGAAAGAGAACGAAAAAAATGACGCCATACAAAGAACGAATTGCGCAAGAACATCCTATATAGATATATCTTATGAGATGCGAACAAATAAGAAAATAAACCTATAGAATCGGTCATAAGATCCTTTATTGAAAGTACATATAATAACGTTTCTTTCCTTTCTATCAAAAGGAAAAAGATGTGTCATAAACTTCATCATTACAATGTATTGCGTCAGATTTTTTCCAGTTGTTAACTTGGAAGAAACAAACAATAAAAAATGCATAAGTAGTCTCTGCTCATTTATTTTTTCTCTTTAAAAGATTTTTCTTTTGGCAATTTCTCTACCTTCCTTTCATAAATGGCTACAGCAACAGTACATACATCAGCAAAGTATAAGAAGAAAATTCTCTGGTTCTGGCAGTCGAACTCGACGAATATACACGATGAGAAGGAAAAACAGCAGCAGTGGAAACGATATTCAGATTTTGAAAATGATCATATTGAAGAAGCTTACCAAAGAAAAGAGAAAAAAGTTCCATTGAATGATTATGTAATTAACTTTGAATATAGAATGCAGCAACACAAGAACGGTAATCAGATGGCAATAAAACGTGAAGAAATTGATTTCAGTCAATGTGTGAGAGAAGAAAGGTTTTTATATCCAGTGAGAGCTACGTCTGCTAAATCATTTGAAAAAGAATATGATAAGAGTGATTTCATCAGTCAATGGAGACGAAAAGAACACAAAAAAACCGAATTTGATAATGAGCATGGACCAAATAATGAGAATCGAGCAACTGCTGAACTGGCTGCTCAAGGTAAGTATTGTTGTGGTTTTCTTAGTTCACTGAGAGCTCTCTACCATCTTTCTGTTCAGGTATCATAGAAGAAGGAAGACTTATAAACAAAGAATTTGATGCACAACGAATGGCTGAACAACTTCGCAGTTGTAAACATGACAAAGAGATTGGTCAATGTGTTGCACGTCTTTACTCAGCTTCCTCCTTTCTTTCCGAGCTAGTTAATTCAACCTTAAGAAATGATGATATGAGCAAGTTAGATACACTAGGTCCATTCTGTTGGTTGTTGGATCATCGTTTGGGGTGGAATGAAGGAGGATGGGATTGCCATGTCTATCGTGGTATGACTCTAACAGATGAAATGATTGAAGAATACAAACAAGCTATTGGACAGAATATTATATGGCCGGCATTTACTTCAACTACACTGAACCGTCAAGTAGCTGAGTTTTATTGTGCAAATACACTTTTCATCATTGATATTCAAGCTGGTCAATTTTGGAGGCGAAGTAACATTTCTGGTATATCACTTTATCCACACGAAGAAGAGCTGTTACTAACAACCCAATACTCGTTTAGAGTAAACAACGTAGAATATGATTCAATTAACGGAAAATATTTAATTTACATGACGGAGACGGGGATGCATTCTTCCACCAATGGAGGAAAAACTTTTTTTTGGGACTCTGATAAAATAATAGGTGAGCAGTAATGAAATCCGAAACTGCAACTTCCTATCTAGTGGAATAGACAGGAAGATGTAGATGTTACGGAACCACCGCAACTTTTTCCACAAATAATTCAGGATAGTGTATGATTTGTGCAACAGCCAATCTCAGTATATATGAAACATAGATTATGTTTGTTCTTTTTTTATATAACGGGTGATGCATAGGGGTGTCACACTTACCACTTACCACCACTTCCACTTACCGGGTAAGTGGTAAGTGTTTTAATCATTAGAAAATTATCGGTATAGCACTGACAAATGATTATTTTAAGTATGAATTATTCATTCTTGCATAGTAATCTACACCACTTTCCACTTTCTGGTAAGTGGTAAGTGGTAAGTTACCACCCAGGGAAAAAATGTCAGATTATATCAGATTATGTTCGATTATAACCGGGTTTTTGTGAAACAAAATCCAAATTATAATCGATTGAAATCTTCTAAATCAACTATAATTTGATTTTTAATCAAAAATAATCTCCTACATCAAGTATAATTTTGATTAAAATCATCTATTTTTTATTGACTTATATTTAATTGAGCAATAAAATAATTTAAATGAGCAATAATGAAATTTAGCAATAATTATATAGTGAGCAATAGTTATACTGAATGAGCAAAAATTATACTGAAAGAGCAATAATTTATCTAAATTAAAGGTAAATTTTATATAAGATAGATTTTCTATAAAAAGGGTGTTATCGTGTGACTCGCTTATATATCTTTTTTTCCTTTCTTCTCTTCTAGGGTGTGGGCATGGGTGTAAGTCTGGGTCTGGATGTGGATGTATTTGGGTATAACACTTGCACGCGCACCGCATACCCACACACTCCCACCCGCGCACCCACAGTCACCCCCACCCCCACACCCACACACCCACCCCCACACTCACTCACACCCACACCCACACCCACACNGTTCACCGCGGTACGTATTGCAAATGCTAATGTTTGAATTTCATCGTCCCATGAATTGTGTTGTTGTTGAGCATATATGGCAATTAACGGCTTTAATGTTCTATTGACACGTTCTGTCATGTTGCTTTGTGGGTGATAATTTGCAGTTAAATTTTGTGTAATACCTAATGTATCACAAAAATTTTTAAATAAATTTGAGACGAATTGCGGGCCATTATCAGATACAATGTGTTGTGGCAATCCATATCTTGAAAATACTTCGTTCATGAGAATATTGGCCATATTGGTAGATGTAGTTGACTTCAGTGGAAATAGTTCGATCCATCTGGTGAAGTAGTCTACCACGACGAGAAGAAATCGTTTTTGTCTGGCCGTTGTCGGTAAAGGACCCATAATGTCTATGCCGATCGTGTGCCATGGTTCATTCACTAAGTGCATTTGCATTGGGCTTGCTGTTGGAGCATTATTGTATTTAAATTGTTGACATTCTTGACATGCAGCTATATACTTAAATACATCTTTTCTCATTGATTTCCAATATACTCTTGTTGATAATCTAAATAATGTTTTTTGTTGGCCCCCATGTCCAGCTGTTGGATGATTGTGCGCCCATTCCAATAATTTATTTTGCATTGCTCTTGGAATAATTAGCAGATGTTTTGCACCCACGGTACGTTGATTGTAATGTTTATTGGCGTTTTTAATTTTGTACAATAATCCATTTATAAGAATGTGGGGATTACGTTTATCATTAAAATCTGTTGATGGTTTTGTTTTTAATAATTCTATTATTGGTTTTAATTTGGAGTCAGCTTCTTGTTCTTTTCTTACATCGTCAAGAATGTTTGTATTTTGCCATAAGTTAACAGCTGTTTCGATTGTTGACGCTTCGAGTTGATTAATATCATCATTTGGTAATGGATTGCGTGATAACGAATCGGCGTTAGCGTTTAATTTTCCCGGACGATATTTGATTTCTTCAATTTGATAAGCAGATAATTTCATCGCCCACCGGGCCAATCGACCTGTTACATCTTTTGCCGTACGCATCCATTCTAATGCTTTACAATCTGATCTAATATAAATTTTATTACCTTCGAGGTATGGACGAAAATATTTTGTTGCCCATACAATGGCTAACGCTTCACGCTCTGTCGCTCCATATTTTCTTTCGGCAGTTGATAATGTTCGACTTGCGTAAGCTATTACATATTTTTCCCCATCATATTCTTGTGTTAATATGGCCCCTAGGCCATATTCACAAGCGTCGAGCTCCAATATGAACGACTGTTCGAAATTTGGTGTGTTCATAATTGGTGCATTTGTTAATCTTTGTTTTAATGTTTCAAAAGCGTCGGTGCATTCTTTTGACCATTTTAAATGATGATTGCCTTTTTGACAGTTTCGCAACTGTTGTAATAATGGTTCGGCTATTTTCGAGTAATCTTTGATGAATCGACGGTAATAACCGGTTAAACCAAGAAATGATTGAACATCTTTGATCTTTTTCGGTTGAGGAAAGTTTGTCACTGATTTAATTAAATCTGGATCTGGTTTAATGCCATTCTGAGTGATAATGTGTCCCAAGTAACGCATTTCTCGACGGCAGAATTGACATTTTGATGTTTTCAAAGTCAGATTTGCTGATTGAAGAGCTTGGAATACTTTTTCTAAATCTTTCACATGTTGTTCGAATGTTGGTGAGAAAATTACCACATCGTCAATGTAAACGAGACAGCATTGCCACTTGAGACCGGCTAACACTACGTCCATTAATCGTTGGAATGTTGCTGGAGCATTAGTTAATCCGAATGGCATAACATTAAATTCAAATAAACCTTTATGTGTTACAAAGGCGGTCTTCTTTCTTGAATCTTGATCCATTTCCACTTGCCAGTATCCGGAGCGTAAATCGAGTGTTGATACAAATTTCGCTTGTCGTAATGAATCTAATGTATCATCTATTCTTGGAAGTGGATATGCATCACGAATTGTTACAGCATTTAATTTTCGATAATCAATACAGAAACGTAAGTTTCCATCTTTCTTTGGAACTAATATAACGGGTGATGCCCATGGACTTGTTGATGGTGAAATAATCCCTTGATCTAACATTTCTTTTATGTTCTGGTCGATTATTTGCTTTCTTGTTGGTGCATAACGAAATGGTGGTGAATTAAACGGCTGTGCCCCTGGAACTAAATTGATTTGATGTTGGGTTTTTTTTGTTCTTCCTGGTTGTTCGTTAAACACATCCGGAAATTGCTGAATAAGTTGTTTTATTTGTTCTTTTTGTTGTTCGTCTAAATCAGTGTTGATTAAACTTACATCACTGTCTGTTTTTGACGTCGTTTGTTTTGTTGCTGATGATATTGTTCCATGTTGCATCATATTTAATTGAATTTGATTAAGACGAGTCATTGTCGCCAGCGGCTGATTTTTATAGATCATAATCGTTCTTTCCGTTAGATTAGCCACCTGCAGTGTCATGTGTTCACATGGTGTAATAATGCCGTTGGCTACACGTGGAGTTTCTTTTATTGATGATACTTCATATTCATCTCTGTCATCTTCTTCTATAATTGAGAATGGTTTATTTGGTTTAACTTCAATGTTAAATGCATGAAATGGTGAAATCTTGACACGCTCATTGGCAATCAGCACATACTCATCCTCGTTCTTAATTGTTTCTTTTCTTTCCTGTTGCAGCTGTGTATTTTTTTTCTTCGCTTTGAAGTATGCATATTGTTGTCCACCATCTATTTGAAGATTGTGTTCACGTATTAAATCATTACCAATAATACACGAACGCCATAATTTTGGGACCACGTAGACTTTATGTACACGAGTTGAGTTGGAGATGGTTATTGGGAGTGATAATGCATATTTAACATCGAGTTGTGATCTATCCGCCAATTGAAGACATAAATTGGATGGAGGGGGATATGCTCCTTGACGATAATACCGTGGCAATCGTCGAAAGAGTTGAAGATTAATTAATGTGAGCGATGCTCCAGAATCGATAAGTAGTTGTGTTCGTCTTCCTGCAATCATACCTTGTAATATTAATGGAGTATTATTATAAATGTTCATAGTATGAATTTCGGCGGATAGTTGAACGGGATATTTTACATTGGAGCGCCATGGGCCCGTCCACCCTGTGCTCCATTGTCGTTTTTTGAGTAATGCCACGAATTCTGGTGTTGATAGGTGTTGTATTGATATGGACAGTTTCTTCTAAAATGCCCTTTTCGTCCGCACATGTAACATTTTGCTTCGTTTGATGGGTATCCGCTCTGTTGGTTAATCATTGCATGTGTTGATTGATGTGATTGTCGAGTTGTCACATAATCATTCGTATTCTTGTTCGATGTTAAATTTCTTCTATTGTTGAATTTTGTTTGTCGGTTCATTTGATGTGTCGACATTGTTTGCACCTCGTGATGATTTTCGTTATTGTACATTGACGTTGTTGGTGCATCATTGTGTAATACGTCATCGTAATCAGTTCTTTGGCGTTGTTTATTTCGTTGGTAGAGTATTTCTTCAATTTTTTGAGCTTCTAAAATAATCTCGTCTAGTGATTCACATCGAGATATACCGATCATTGTTAATAAATTGTTTCTCATCTTGCACAGCAGGTGTCGAATGAGATCACTTTCTGTTTCATTCGGCTTTTGTTCTTGCCAGAGGGCCCGAAGTCGAACAATAAATTCATTGATTGTTTCATTTTCTTCTTGTTTACAGCTCTTCCATTGCTGCTCTTGATGTGCTCGTCGAATTGGTGAATTGAATTGGTTGAGAAAGATTACATTGAATTCTGTCCAAGTTTGTGGACGTCGATTTGAAATACCTAATTGGCAGTACCATTCGAGAGCTGTGTCTCTCAGGAATTGTGAGATGCCCTTAAGTAAATGTTGATCATTCCAATGGTTTATTGTCTCTGCATATTCTTTGACTCGCATAAGAAATTGACGAGGATTCTCCATGATACTTCCACTAAACGTTGGTATTGACGATGATGGTGGGATAATAATTGTTGTTGTTTGATGCTGTCGATCAGGTTGGTCATTATTAAATGATTCGTCTATTGTCAATGAATTTCGTTGTGTATGAGGTGTCAAGGTGTTTTCTTCTATTAATTGGTTGAGATTACTTTTTTCTACTGTTTTCATTGTAATAGCTTCACAAATTTTTTGTATTTCCATTTTCATGTCTCGAAGGTTGCTTGTCAGCTGTTCCAGTTCTTGATTCTTTTGTTCTAACTTTGATATTGTCCCATTTTGCCATTCTTGTGTTTGTGATTGAATAGCTTCTATCTGGTTGGTCATTTTTTCCTGCAGGTTAAGGATTTCCTGCGGTAAACCCGTAGTATTTTTGCCTTGATCAATCAAATTGTCATGTATTTCTGCCAGCTTTGTTTCCAGACTATTCAATCGTGCACTATTGTTGCTGTTTACTTCAGATAACTTTTGAACTGCTTGTTCAACTGTTACTTTTTCAGATGCCATAATTGATATTATTATTATTATTATTTATTGTTTCACCACGTTTTCTTCGATCAAAAGATTTAGGTTCAATTTGACAGGGTCGCCATGTAACGATAAGATATGATATCGTGTATTCAACTGCCTTTATTTCAATCTATCCATTCCTTTTATATTTCTCTTTCCTTTCCACGCGAGTCAATCAACCGTGGCGGAATGAAGAGAAGCAGCGAGAGAAATAAAGAGACACAGAGAGAGAAAAGAAAGAGAGAGAGAACACACGGGAGAGACAAGATATACATACAGGGATAATTATGCACACAGTTGTTCACTAAGATAGAACAAGTGCCTATCTCGGCACACAGTTGTGTTTTTTTTTCTTTTCAAAAAACACGAAATTCGGTGTTATCAATTTTCGACTCTAAGAAGAAGATCAGTTTTTGCTACACGAGTTATTTCTTTTCATAATGTCGAAAACTGATCACATAGAATTTCGCGTGTTTTGAATAAACATACAATAAAAATAAACTTTATGGGTGTGGCTGTCGTATAAAATAGTCAACTACAAAATGTACACCATCACACCTACTACTATCAAAAAACAACCATCAAAGACCTATAGATTTCTTTATTAATTATACAAATTCAATTAAAATCGAGGCATACATAAAAGAGCTGATTAAGAACAAATTTCAACTTATAAACAATTAAAATCAATCTTAATAGATATAACAACAATTGTTCTGTGTCTCGATTAGATAAACATAAAATTTCATTTGAATTGTTACTGCTTTTATTTTTGTTCGCTTTATTAATAAATCTAAATTTTCTAGAAGAAAACCAATCAAATGAATTTTTAATAAGAACAAAAGTCTATAAAGAGTTTTTTTAAAAATTTTAATACAATATCATTAAACAATTAGTGAGCAAGATGCTTCAAAATTTTATTTATTTTGTTTTCTAATAATTATAATAATTTTCAGCTTAAAAAAGTCTTTTATTACTATCGAAAAAGAATATCTTATATCTTAAGTAAACGAACATATAAACTCTGTAAAACATGGCAAAATTTTCATCAGCATCGGCAGTAGAAAATTTTCATAATGATGAGATTACACTATTATCTGTAAAATGTTCTTCTATTATGAAATTTCATTATTTAATAAATGATCTATTTTTAATTTTTTATCTGAACAAACAACACAAAAAAAATTAATTTGGAAAAGTTTTTAAATTAACTAGTCTAATATTCATAAATTCTGTTTTTACAAAAGAATTTGATTTATTACAAACAATTATTAAGAATTTCGACTGAGATGAAACTATATGTAGGTTATCAATGGAAGGAGAAACATGAATAATGATCTATACAATAAGGCCGATACTCATCTAAAACTTTTCAACTTAATCTTTTTAAAAATAACGATGTACCTATAAAAAAAATCAACTGGAGAAATGAAATACAAAATTATTTTGAAATAATCTTGCTTTAAAATATCATATCATGTGAATCTTATCATTTCACCTGTCCTTTGAAACTATTATCAAACCGTTCCTAAATTCTGTTTTACATACTTTTATTCAAGTCGCGTTCGAATAGAAATAGCATATATCACTTTCATTTGACTTTTGCTTGATATTCATATTGTTTTTTATTGGATGATATACCATGTTTTATAGCGCATACACAAAAACATAGTCAGACAACGATACGATAAAAAGGCGTAGAATGTTTGTTTCTCTTCAGAGATAATGTTTTGTACTTTTTTTTAAGACTTATCTTATAACAGTGAAGTGATGGGTACATGCTTTCAAAAGTATATTTTAGCATATCAACCTTCTATTTTATTCACATCAAAAGATCACTTGTGTAAGTGTTTTTATTTAACAAGTATTTTTCTTTCATGAGACTAACTAACAATGAAATCACTGTTAACAACGAAAAAACATCAAATCATAATGGTGAAGATGAAATATATTTATCTGAACAGGCTAAATATGAATTTAATTTCTACAATGATATTTTGCATAGTTTTGAAACTTATCGTCAATATATACTTCATCATGAATCTATTACGGAACATGGTCGATATTTGGCTTTAGCAGAGATCAATAGATCACATATTAACTGTAAGAAAGTTCTAAACTATGTAGCTGAAAATAAATCAATTCTCAGTCAAAGTTTACCGACTAAAGGTCCTTTAGTAATATGTGGTCTACCAAGAACGGGTACAACATTACTTTACAATTTACTATCATGTGATAAAAATTGTCGAGCACCATTATTCACAGATATGTGTATTGATATTGTTCCACCTATTGCTCGATCTGATTCAATTCAACAACAAAAACGAATAAATACAATATTATCATCTATAGAATTAAATAAATATTTTACTAATTTTCGAAGTCGATTGACTGAAGTTCATCCAGCATATCCAATTGAAGAAGATTATCTTATTTTACGTCAAGCTACTTATTTATTCTTTTTCACATATATTAGCAATAATAATGAAATTGATTCAGACATTTGGTTGAATAATGAAATGGAAAAAGATTATGCCTATGATTATCATGAAATTTTCTTGCGCATGTTAAATTCAGTTGATATGCCATCATCGCATTGGTTATTAAAATCACCTATGCATTGTTTATATTTTGATACATTTCTACGTCATTATCCTAATGCATCTTTTGTTATAACTCATCGACATCTCGATGAAGTACTTCCTTCATTATGTAGTTTATCATGGGAATTAGCTCGATCAGCATTTGAGCAACATGATGTAGTTGATCCAGAACAAATAACGAAACGATGTTGGCAGTTAACCGATCGAATGATTGATTGTATTATGAAATTTTATGAAAGTCAAAAAGAAAATATGAATTCAAAACTAAATATTCTTTTTAATGTTACTTATAATGATTTAATGAGTAATCCTATTGATGTTGTTCATCGTATTTATGATCATTTTGGTCTTGATTGGTCAACAGAATTTGAAATAACAATGCAACAATGGCTTGTAGAAAATCCTCAAGGAAAACAAGGTCGTCATTCATATTCATTAAAAGATTTTAATTTAAAATTTGAAGAAATTGAAACACACTATGCTGATTACACAAAAACTTTTCTTGCTTAATGTTTTTGAATTTTAATTAAATTAATTATGAACCACTAAACAATCGAATATTTGATAATTTTTATATTTATTGATTCTTTTTTCTAAATAAATTTCTATTTATGTTAATCAAGATCAATAATTCTTCTTTGTGTTTTCTCTCAATTATTATTAACAACAGAAGAATTGATCAAATTTTGTTTGAATATATACAATCATGTCATTGGCCATAATCGAATATAATAAACGAATGATCGGATCAGAAACTCTTAAACTTAACAAATAACTTGTGTAATCGAATATTTGAGGAAAAAAAGAAGTACCGTATGTCATTCTCAAAGATACAGCTTCATAATAAATCAAAATTTTTTATATTGATGTTAAAATCAGCTGACATTTAACAAGTTAATTTATACATGAACACAATAGTGGAAAAATGTTGTTAGACTCTTTTGTTATAATTAATATGATAAGATACAAGAATATTCATCTCATGTATATTTATTAAATAACAACTATGTATTGAACAAATAAATATCATTGAATATTATTCGTTGTGGAGAAAGTATGATAGAAGAATATTTTTGTAATACAAAATTTGTTGCTACAATGGAACTCATCTGTTCTGTGTCCAGCCATAGATGTTTTATACAAGTTTATTTGTACGGCATTTTCATAAAATGTTACTTGAACACGGTCATTGATGAAATTCGTTTAATCTTAGAGATAAAAAGCTCCTTGCTAAGGTTTTTGTTCTTGTGTTGATAAATATCGTTGGCATTAACTACTTCTTTTGTGTAGAAAATTCATATAGAATTATTCAAAACTTATCTTTGCTTTCACTGTAAATGAACAGACAACTTTCTTTTTTCTTTTGATAGTAGTAGAAGAAGTTGCTAAAAAACAAAACGTTCGAAGTCCTAATACCAGAAGAAATGTAGATTTTCTAATATTTTGTTTTTCATCAACACATTCTATCTACAAACATCATTTAATTCAAATATAGAAGAATTAAATGCTTTGTTAAAATAGTACTATTTTATCTTAACTTATCTATAATGCAGTTTTGACAGGGACATTTTTCAAGTAGCATAAGTATTGTGCACTTTGAAAAATCTAAAAAATGCAGGAATATGAATAAAAAATACACAAACTTCAACCGACGTTTGTTCATATTTGTAAACATAACAAAAATAATCTTATACACATAAAAGTAAGTGAAACATAAAGATTTTCATAAGTTCAATTTTAAGTTGGGTGTGGGTATGGGTGTGTAGTATGGATGTTGATGAATAAAATAAACACACCCACACCCTCAGGTATGATACGTGATATGAATCTTTGTCGCAGAGAGAAGTCTTTTTATGTTCGGATCTCATTTTTCATTTATTAGAGGTAGTTGTTAGTATAAATTTTCATTTTTCTGATGCATAGTTATGTGCATGAGGAAATAGTTATGGTGAAAATTTTCTGAGAGACATGAATCATTTTTGATTATTGTATAACATTTATCTTACAGATTTTCTAATTATTCATATGCATTTGAGATCTGAAGGCTGAAGCTCAAAATTCTGTCCAGAACTAACATTTTTGACACTAATCGATTCGTTAGCCAATCCTCACGATTTTCTACATGTTGAATGAACGATAATACATTGGATTATAGTTAGGATAGTTCTAGCAATCGCTTTCGTTAAACTAGAAACGCATCTTGCCAATAAAAGATTTATTCAATGAAGATAGAATATGCGAATCTAATTTTCACAGGCAGATTTATATCGATAAATCGTGTCCTCATTGAAATTTAAGATTGTCAGTCGTTTATATTATTTATTTTGAACTCTTCCATCAGTTTGAACTAAAACAATACAAACGGACAGCAATTGACTACTTTCATATTGGAGAAGTGCATCTTTCGCACAAACATCGTTTGTGGGAGAATAGTCAATTTCGAACGAATTCGCATTGAATTCAATGATTAGTTTTTGTCGATATTCATGATTAATGTAGTTGAATTGCATTAAGATGAATAGTTTGATGATAGGGTTCCGATACAGTGATCATTTGGATTTTGTTTCTCGAAAGAATAATGATTATATCCAACATAAAATGTAGAAATATGTAAATATTGTAGTATAAATGCTTGTAAACAGAGGATTGACAGATATCGAATCATTTTGTTACATATTTCCAGTAAGATGTGGATGTGAGTCTGAATTTGTGAACGAACAAAATGGTGACTTTACTTACATTCACAATCTATCGAGTGTTTACAAATTTTGACGATTTCGAGCATATTTTACTATCGGGTCTGACTACTGTCGATACAACTCACTGCAGAGAATGAATAACTTGATATTAGATTACTTTTCATCTAATACGATGACATGCATGGATAGGCTTTCACTATGCTGTTTGTCGTTGCCAATTGCATCCATATTTTCTTTCTTCAAGATTAAGTAGACTATTTATTGAACTGATCCGCTGAATTAGAATGTCTGACCACCTTTTTCTTTCTACTGTTACTTATGCTGTTGTTGATCGACCATATCTGCATATCTTGGTTTATAATCAGTCTAAGTCTAATATTGAATGTATTTATATATTGGTCTAAACTATATACTTTGATGTCCATTCAAATGCTACAGTCAATGATTTTGTATCCCAATTTGACTAAGGCATGGCAACTTTGCATCAATACTATCGACATCTTGAATAATCGTATCACACATTCAACACGCTCACAATGAAAAATACTTATTGACCAATTGCAAGAGAGTAACAATGAATTATATTCTCCCTTAGGGATTCATAGATGCACTAACTTTGAAGATGCATCGATGACCGTCTTGAATGCACTGGCACTTATTCAATCGCATCAAGCCGCCGCACTTTTCTTGTTGAACAATGATATCAGACAGTTTTTGCCTATAGTGTCATAGGTGAACTGCGGACAAAGCACCTTGACTGAGATAATGATGAAATTAGCACACTAAATTGCAATCCAAATGCGATGAGTTACATTCCTAATATTTCAAACAATTCATCTTCATTCTTCGCAACGTTTGCAATTGAAGCACGTGCTTTTGTCATCATACTTCTTCGTCAACCAAATCATCAACCATTTGGAGTACTCTTCATTGCTTTTATTCAACCGGAACCATTGAACTTCGATGCTTGTGAGCGCCTACAGAATTTTGCACGGTACATTACTTTTCCATTGTACTGTATGCATAAGGAAGAACGTCTGCGAAGACTAGTGTTTATTGATGAATTGTCTGGTCTAATGAATTATCGGGCATTTCGATGGCATTTGAAAAAAGAAATCCAACATGCAAAACGTTATAAATATCCATTTTCACTATTGATGCTTGATCTGGACTTTTTTAAACACATTAACGACCGCTATTTGGGCATGAGACTGGCAACTGCGTTCTCGCTCAGATGGCTAGCCTAATGCGTAGTAATATGGGGTGCGTGAGCTTTCGTCTTACCTCTTCCGAACATCCGGATATGTGACCGGATGTTCGGAATTAACTTTTTTTCATGTCCGGAGTTCGTAAAGAGTCGTGTCCAGGAGATCGTAATAGAATACAGGGAGATCGGAATGATTTTACATGATGTTCGGAATACAGTTTTTCTTGTATATCTGATATAACACCGAGAGATCGTGATGAACAATGTCAGATGTTCGGAATAATGCATTTTATAAAAAAAAACAACCGGATGATCGGAATAACATTGACAGGAACATCATAAAAAAATCGGTTAAAGGTGCAAATTGTTGTGCAAAAAATAAACGTAGGAAAAAATAAATATTGAAAATTTTGCTCGGTGCATTTCATTTTCTCTTATGATATTCGGTTCTATATTTTCTAAACATTAAATTTAAAAATCCAAATAAAAGTATTTGTTTCTTTTTTTGGTTCTTTATCTAGGTCTTGATACATTTGTTCTTTTTTTTTTTGTTTATTATATTACTTTATTCTATGTCTGTCTACTTCTCCAGTTGTAATTTATACTTTTTCTCAGTATAAAATAACATATTGTACTGACAGTATTAAATAAGAAAAAGTCAACTGTACTTTTGTATTTTGTTAAAAGTGTTTGTTGTACTTATTTTTTTGCTGTTAGAGGAAGAAAACATGATGATATTTATTCGTACTAGACTTATGAATAAAATTTCTTTTTTTTCTTTACAAAAACTTGATATTCATAAGCGAAAACATTTAAGAAATTAGTGAGACTATCTAATACGAGAATTACAATGGTAAAAAGAACAACAATCTTGACTGCTTGAGTTCATCAAGACGTTCTTTATCTACCATCTTAGACTGTAAGATAAAAGTGTCACTTCACATTCTCTCAAAAGTAACTCTCAACATGATTACGAACATCCGGCCATTTTCATTCCGAACACCCTGTAGGTTTTATTACGACCTTCATGCATTTGTCATTACGAACTTCTGCACATTTTCATTCCGATCTCCAAGCAAAATTTCGCTGTTTTTTCACAAAAAAACGTCATTACGAACTCCTGACAACATGTCGTTCCGAACATCCTGTTTTTTGTTATATTTTATCGACTTTTTCACTACTAATTTCATTCCGAACACCCTGTCTTTTTTCTTATGCCCGAAGATCGTAACGGACTGCTTCACCTGGAGTTCGTAATAAAAAGGTGAGACGAAAGCTAATTTTCCCAATTTTTTTTCCTGATCTCTGAAAGCAACTAATCTTTTTCATGAATTCAATTAAACTGCTGAATTTACCACGAAATATATCGCCAGTTGCTTGGTTTATGACAGACTTTGATTATGCAATAGATCACTAAAATTAATGAAGAATACATTTATTCTCAAATCAAATTCAGAGAATCATCAATAATTTTAGTTGAATAGTCACTAATTCATAAATTTCTTATATAATTGAAACAAAAATAGTGTTGCATATCAAAAATCCGATTAATACTTATTGTAAAAATATTCATAGAAATTACATGTCTAAATAAGATATTTTCA